TCCTGTATGCCCTTGGTTCACTCCCAAACGCATGGAGAAGGGCATATCGTATTGATTGCCTGTGTTGTGCCAAACATTCTTGTCCAAGCGAATCACCAGATGAAATCTTTGCTTCTCATCACTATGCAATATAGCAAAGAATGCAAAAGGATGAATATTGAAGGGTTTTGGCATACGAGCAGTTCCCTCTGTAATCAGAGGCATAAGCTCTACCGTTGCCCTACTGTCCATCAATCTGTCGAGAGAACGATCGTGTCGTAGCATATAGTTGAGCCCCGTGCTGATCTTTCCATATTCGTTGTTCCTCCACGAGACTCTTGTTGCCACGAACTGTCTTCTTTTCTCATATTCATCCTCTTCCTCTTGGGTGACATAGCCAAGAGCGTATCTGGCAATCTCTGAGAACCATCGTACTCGAAAATCGAACCTATCATTGTTCTCAGGTGCCAAACACATCGCTAGAATGTCAGCTAAGATCAATTCATCCTGCTCTGAGTTCTTTTGGAACTCAACCAGCGTACGTGGGCGTCTCAAACGATTTGCCCAATTCTGAGATTCCTTTCAGGGAACCTTGTACGACCAGTTTTGAGCATACTCAAGGATATTGACCGGATTGGACGCTCCCTGACCGGCCATCTCTGTTGACACAAAGTCCACCGGTCAGAGGCCGGTGTCCTGAGTCTGAGAAATGACAGGTAGTCGACGATGCAAGGCAATAGTCTTCGAAAGAAAAGTGCTGATCTTGCCAAGCTAATTTGAGCCGCAGGCACAAATTCATGAAAGAAATTCAAATTTCTCAGAAAACAAAACAACATGCATTGAATTCTCTCCTCTCACTTTCAGCGCAAAGAATCTCCAAGATAAAACACATCATGTGAAAAGTCAACATGTGTGCATACTGTAGGAAGCCATCCACGCAAATATGCCTTGTGTTCAATAAGTGATCTAAAAGGTGGATGTGCATCAATTTCCTTCAAACAACCACTGCGTACTGCATCTATCAAAGCTTGAGGACTAGCAGACTTCTTAGTAAGACAGTCAGCAAGACACCACTGAGTGCGTATATGTGACAAGTCAGCAATTGCACCAGAGCATGCTTCCTTCCTAAGCATTTGGATCATATGAATAGTCTCCTGTTGCTCAGGAACATGAGTAGTACTAGCCGTAGTCACAAGATTGTTAGCATCAGTGCGCATGTGAATGTCAGTAGAGTCACCTGTAATGTCCTTGATCAAGCCTCTAAGCATTTGGCAAGTGCCATAACACTTCATAAATGCATACAACTCTGCAACAGTTGTGGACAGGGTTGTTCTCTTGATCTTAGAAGATTCAAAGAAAATAAGTGAGCCTCTAGTGTTCTTCTGTTTTGCCTTCCTTTGCTCACCCATTAAATTAACCATAGCACGTTGAGAGGATTTGTCACTGTTGTTCCTGAATGCGGCATCTGGCATAGCAATTAAACGTGGACTACCTTCAAGTGGCCAAAACCGTAACTCCATAGGGTCAGTCACGATTTGTTTGCACAGCTTGTTCAG